ATTAATGGGTGTTTTGATTAAGGATATATGATTTTGATTCATTACAATAAACAAACGATTAGAAAATAGAAATATAACCAATGCATTATTTTATCTTCTTTTTTAGATGATTCTTGGGTTGGGTATAGGTTGTTTTCNTATATATATACACACACACACACACATACGCACCAATCATGAGAGACACATTAATATATGTATAGATGCAAAAATCTACCTTTACGAAAATAGGGATTGATCCCATGAGGTTGAGGCTACTAGCGATTTGCTGCACCTGCACATGCAAGAAAACAAGCGTGAAGCGGACGGAAAACACCAGGGTGGTGTTTGGCATAGACACTCCGACGCTCAAGTCAGCAAGGCTGAGTGATGCTAATTTAGTGAGGGTTAAGGAGAGAAAATGTTACCGGAAGTCTAGTCAGAGACTATAACTGCGGCTGTAGTGCGAAGTTTTCAAAAGTGGGAACTCCGAGGTCTGAAGGTGTAGTGTGTCCATCCTTTGTGAGAGGGCTGACCTTTGTTTAAATAACGATAGTAGGGTCTTCGAATCCTGGTAGGACTAGGAGTCCTTGAAGTTGTGGTTTTGTGAAAGAGTGGAGCCTTTGGCTCCCTTACCTTAGTAGGAAAGGGAGTCCCAATGTGTCTAGGATAGGGATCTTAGATGAATTAGGGTAGTGATGGACCTCTTTAGTAGAGTTCGGATAGTACCAGAGTACGTAGGCGACCCTGGGCCCCAAGTAGATCCTAAGTCCATAAGATGTTCTAGGATCAGAGGGTTTGTGCTCAGATAAACTGGCTGTGAGGTCTAAACAAACCGGGCCTCTCCTGATTGGGTCCAAATGGTGAGCAACTGGGTAGGCGTACCGAACGGACCTGATTAGCAAAACTCTGTTGTGTGTCCAATCGGAATTGGGCCCTAGCTTCGAGCTTTATTGAAGGTGTCTTCGTCTTTGGGTCTATTTGGGCCGAGGACTTTTTTTTGCCTTAACAATATGATTCTTCATTTCTTTTTTAACAGGTTAAAGAGGTTAATTATTCTACAAATATCTAATTTTCAACCTTGAATTTTAATATATATTTCTTCAACGGATTAATATACATATACATATTATTATTATTTTATCAACAAGGGTGTTCGGACCAGTTTATACGTGTGGGGGTCAAAATCATCCGGGGCCTTATCAGGCCCGAACAGACATGTTTCATCACAGTGACCTAAGCTTATGATCCAATTTTGGGTCAGCATCGGAGCTCATGACTTGGGCCAAGTCGCGACCCCCAAATCCAACCTTCTTTCGAAATGGGCGACAACGACGACACATCTAAGGCCAGGTCTTCTAAACCAAGGTAAGTGGCATTCTTCTTGTTTTGTTCAATCCTAATTTGTCCAAGATTCCGTATTATAGGCAGATCAGGACTCTTGTCACTATTAAGTCAAGTGAATCAGGATTTTTCCTATTCATGAGACCTCTTCCCTTAAGGATTCAGAGTCCTATCAGGATACAAAGATCCTATAACTACTGTGTAAACAGAGGTTACTCCTCTAGCATTCAGCCTCAACATCACCTACTAGTACCCAAGCTCTTACTCCTATGAGCTATACTACTACACCGCGGTTCTAGTTCTCGACTTGACCTCTAGTAACCCTTCATTCCCTTAACCTCAGTAAATTGCCTCATTCAATCTTACTAACTTGAGCGTCACAGTGCCTATGGCAGACACCACACCAGGGTCCAAGTAAGTTCCACGCTTGTTTGCTTTGTGTGCAGATGTAGCGGATTACCAGTGGCTTCAATCTCACGAGATCAGACCCTACTTCCACAACCGTAGATTTTAGCATCTTCAACACGTACCTCAACTAATCCTCTGGGACCTTGGAATTACCGGCTGGGTAAGAGTTTCAGTGACTATCCCTATTAATATCGAAAAGGTACTCTAGTTTAAAACCTCTTGGATAATACATTCAAGAATCTCTACAGTTTATATATCTGTTATTGGATCCTCGGTTCATATTAGGTATCATATTTCTTTTTACACCGACAAAAAACAAAAAATATTTGGATCTGTAAATAGAATCAAGTCATTGATTTACTTTTTAAAAATAAAATTATTTTTCAAGCACAATGCTTAGATTTAGCATTGTGCTTCTCCTTTATTTTGTCTTCCTCAAATCTTACATCGAATTAACTTCATTAATTAATTAGTATTTACCCTTAATTACCAACAGTTTATTAGCAGAATTAGGATATACTGTATTAATTTTTCCCGTGCTAACGGAAACTACAAAGTGAGCGACAAAGCAACGGCACAAATTCCTTTTTTTTTCTTTTTTCTTTTTCTTGATTAATTTTTCTGGGCAGCCCTAAATCTCTATAACATGAATCAATTACAATATTCAACGTCGAACCTAGGAGGATTTAATTAAGGAATAATAGATGGATTGTCTTTTACGTGGAACAAAAATCTGAGAATCTATCAGTTGCATGCAGTGGTGCAGTAGTATTAAAATTGATATAGTTATAGTGTCATTGTTAATGAAATTAATAACGTTTATTGTGTTGTTAAACTATCATTGTATTCCAATAACTAGTATATATATAAACTTTAAACGTTTTTATATGTATATACTGCATGCTGACATTTGATTAATTAGTTAATTAACTAAGCCATTGTGTAGTTAACCTACGAGGCATGAGAGAGGAGTCTTTAACTATATGTGGCACAAATTAAACATCTAAGAATCTCATAATTTAGGATTAGGACAATTAAAGAAACCGGTAAGCTACCCTCCTCCAACTATTTACATAGATCATCATAGTTTTAGATAATATTTCCATATAAAATGAACAACTAACAGCTCTATAAATCTATACAAATTTATTATACTTAAGCTTTCTTTGTACATCATCAAGCATATACTATCTACTGCTCATTTTATATCGAGTTATTTATTCTTTGAGTCCAACCAAAAAAGTGTAATAAGTTTATAAGTTCGAGTCCCTCCAAGTACTAATAAAGGTAACCACTAGATCTCTTACCCGACTGATAATTATAAGGTCTTGATGGATTAGTTGAGGTGTGCACAATCTAACATGAACACCCCTAATGATAAATAAAAAAAATAAAAAACCCAACTATTTCTTATGTTTTGATTTTTTTTTTTTATTGTTATAATTATCATTTAATTTCTTGTTTTACTTGCATGTTGTTTCCTTTTGCTCCCATTTTCACTTTATGTGGTTTATTAATATTTCATCTTCATTTTCTTTTCTTTTTTCTTTTTTATCGTTGTAGTGTAGGGTCTAATTGGGAAGTAATTACGTCTTAATTAAACTCTTAAATACTAATTTATTTTATGTTGCTCAAGGTATGCATATCTTTACTGCTTTTGTTCCTTTATTCACCCACTTTTCAGGTCTCTTCCATTTTTTGTTTTTCAAAGAGCTTGACCATCTACAGTTTGATACTCCCTTTAATTAATTTAAGTTTTCTTAAATACAAAGTAAAGTAGATGTCTTATCCTCTATAATAATTAATTAACAACTCCATATCCTCTATAATTTTGGCACCATGATTTATGCTAATTAAGTTCACCAATTAATTAATTATCTCATTTGTACATAATGATCTCTTTTCACAGTTGAATTTCTACCAAATTAAATATCATGTAGAATAAAAAATTAATCAAATATGCCAAAATCACAAACTTTTATAAAACGGACAAAGCTGGAGAAAGTAAAAGCAAATTTAAATATTTAATTGGACCGACAAATTTCATTTTGTAGACAAATTTGAATACACATGTGCTAAACCCCACGTCACTACTCACATCACATTAAGCTACTAAATTGCTGGGAGAGATTTGCGTTGTGTTGTTCTCTTAATTGGCATGGATTGAAGGAGCATAAAATCATAAAATGGGTCAGAGAATACCCCACTTTGATCTTTGAAAATGATCCTGGCCCTCACTATTCAAGGTTTTCCACTAACAAATACCTTATTTTTCTTCAATAAAATCATTCCCACTATGGGGTAGATTAAATACTTTGCCGGTGGTGCAATTATTTCAAAATTCAATTGTTTTTGGGATTATACTCTGAAAATTGTTGTTTCCGAATAAAAACAATGAAAACATGAATGATACTAATGTTTCAAAAAATAAGTGGATATATCTCATGTGATGTGATTTGGGTTAATCTTAATAACAACCTTATATTTTTAGAAATACCAATAAGGCTTTCATATTATCTTCTGGTATCTCAATAATTTTGAGCTTCATTTAACCTATTATCATCTGGAAATCGATTTTCATGAATACAAGATGATAGCAAAGAACAATTAGGCTAACCATCACTAGGTAATCTAATAGTAAAAGAGTAAAATGAGATTCTATAAGCTCATAAATTCGAGTCATCACAAGCCCTAATAGGGATGATCACTTAGGGGCTTTTTCGGTCGTCAATTTCAAAGCCTTAAGGGATTAGTTGAAGTGTGTACAAGTTGGCCCACCTGATCAACAAAAAAAAAAAAAAAAAAAAAACAGTTAGGCTCAATCCCAACTACATTCATAATTGACTCTAGATAACACATTTTAATATTGCTCCTCCAGTAAAGAGACTTAAAATCACAGCTGTATACGATTGCAAACCCATTTAAAACAAAGACACTGCAATAAATAAATGTACCACCATCTCCAATTTAACATCTTTCCCATGCCCTACAAAGCTTTTACACTATCTATTCCCTCTTAAGATTAAATAAACAAATAAAACTCTAGCCTGTTAAATTATACATCTCATCAAGGGTTTCCTGTTTCTTTTATTTTTATATCTTTTCCTTGTATCATCAAGTTTAAAAACCAAATCATTCAATAATTATGAGGATAAATAATATGATGTTATGATGCTTAGAGAGCAAGGATTGGGTTTCAAAAAGCAAATGAACTGTCAAAGAAACCAGAAATTTTGGTAAAGATAGCAACTATAAATCATACTTCTGAATATTCACAAATTGAGATCTAATCACTTCTAAAACTTGATCTTAGACAAACATCTACATTACAACAGCCCAGAGTTCTGCTTTCAGTAAATACAGGAAGGACAGATAAATGGTACAATTTTTTTTTCACAATCCATCATGGATATTTACAACTGACATTGTTTGATCAAGATGGACACTATCGCATGACTTAACTCCAGATGGGTAACTTAGATTTGCATTTCTTTGCCCAGACGGGGAACTTGAATTCCCGTATCTTTGGCTATGAAGTCTGAGGTTGTTTCTAACGAAAACAAGATCTTCGACTCTATCCACACCCAACCTATTAGCTGTTTCTCGACATGGGAAGTCATTTTCTTGCCAAATTTCTTGACACATTGCAACACTTGAAACCTGACTGAGAACCTTTATTGCTAGTGTCTGCAATTGCTGTGTTTCAAAACCAAAGTTCTCCCACCATGCAACTGGTTCCATTTTATCTCTAAATTCCACAGCATCTTCCTCTCCTAAGGATCCCTCTAGTCGCCAGTAAGAGCTGAGCTGCTCTCTAAGAATCCGTCTGGCTGAACTATCACACTCATATCTTTCGAGAGTGGCTTTCCAACCCCGCATTAGAGTTTTATCCTTGCTTTGACCTCTTCCAAAATATCTAGGGTTTAGCATATAAGCTACAGCATGAAGAGGGGAAAATAACAAGTCCCATCTATTTTCTATCAGGACTTCCAACTGATTCAATGCAGTGGAATCGATTCCCCTAGTTCTTACGGCTTCAAGTGCCTGAACCCGCCATTCATGTACAATTCCCATAGGAGATTTGTCGATATCAAATGTAGCAAGTAATCTTACAAAAGGCTCACATAACTGTAAGAACAAATGAACCTTGCACCAGAAATCATCACCTAAAATGGCAGATTCAACAATTACATTGTCTCCTTGCATATTAAGCTTCCATTGCTTAAACTCTTCACTAACAACTGCCTCTTGAAGTACCTGCTTTAGCTCAAAAATCCTCTGAATGAAGCAGTATGAAGGTGCAAACTTGGCAGAAAGAGGGTCAGAACTCTCTTTCAGATTATGAGTAAAAAGACCTGGATAAGCATGCTGGTAATACATCATGAGTTGCTCAATCTCCTTAGCACACGAAACAATAGATTTTATCCACTCCAAGCCTGCTATTTCTTCCATCAACATGTGAATAGAATGTGAAGTACAAGGAGACCAAAAAATGTGAGGGAACTTTGACAGTACAAGAGATTCAGAAGATTTACAGGGATGGCCTAGATGTGAGATTATTTGAAGTACATTTGTGGGCCCAACTTCTAAAATTGCATCAATAAGAACACTAGCGAACAAATTCTCTGTCTCGTCAGTATCATCTATATCGACTGCTTTTAAGAATATGAGTCCCCTAGGACTTGAGACAAAAATACTAATGTGGAAGTAGCCTAGTGTGCTATCTAAGCGACTGATACAGAGCATTGAACATCCAGTGTGAGGCCAAGACTCCCTAATTGAAGCCATGAATTTCTCAATCCTTTCTTTCTCTTTACTTAAAAAGGAATCGGAAAACTTATCTATAGATGGAAGTTCATACCCTGGGCCAAAAGCAGATATTGCTTTCAGCATTTCAAGAAAATATGGAGAGTTAATAACATTTACATTCAGTCCATCAGCATAGAAAAACCTAGCTATCATGTCATCCACATCTTCTTTGGAGATGTTTTTCACTGTAAGGGTTGACTGTGATGTCCGGATGCGCTTACCAGGCTTTCCATTCCCAGAAATCCTTTTCTTTTTCCGAGCAAGGCGCTCCTCCTCTAGGATCTGGAATGCTTCTCTCAGAGACCTGTCTATTGCTGGACAGCTTTTGACTCCAACACCTGAGAACCCAAGAAGGTGGGCTCTAACACGTGAATAAGATCCATTATATCTTAGATTGCAGTGGTTGCATTTCCACCTCTTTGTACCACTTCCCCTGTCAAACCCACCAAACACACTAACATGTTCCCATCCCCACTTATCAGATTCTGATGGCATTATCCAAAGCCTGAGTGCTATTTAAAAATAAAAGCCCAATAAATAAATGAATAGTGAAAAAGAGCAGCAGAAATCTGTCACTATAAATATCCATCAAAGTAAACCACTATATTCAGATAGGAACTATATAACAAGTATTTAAAAGCTCCAATATTAAAAAGTCACTTCTTTTGAAAATTTATGTAACATTAGCTGCATGTAAATGAAGACAGAGTAGAGAAAACAAGAAGAGATATTCTTGGAGTTGAATTCCTGTTCTCTGATGCAAAGCCACCACGCCAAGAAAAACTTTCCCAAATAGTTCTCCTAAATTTTGAGAAAAGTATATTTATTGTGCAATGTAAACTTACCGTGTCATATGATACTCCTTACTATATATTTATTTATTAAAACACATTATATACAATCCTAATTCATACACCAGTTACAATAGATAGTACAGACTCCATGGGGCCAATGCCCATATAATACAATATCAATATCAAAGAAGAAGAAAAACTCCACTCTTCCTCAAGTTGGAATATAGCAATAAAAGGTGAGCTAAAAATTGTAAAGGAAGTAAGAGAGGCTTCGCAAAAATCTCTCAACTGAACTTCTTTCTTTATATGGAATGACAATCTACTTTCTCACAATATCATGGATGAAATCAAAATCAACTATTATATATGTGTTCAATATGCTCATGAAAAGTGAATCACCAGCGATAAAATATAGTAACCAAATCCCAATTCATCTTCATAGGATAAGGAACCTCTACATCTGTTCATGGAGTAGAGACTACAACCTTCACATTGTAAAAGCTATATGAGAAAAAAGCACTGTATTCTACCTTGGGTAAGAACTACATTTTGTTTTTACTATGCCAATGTACCAAATTACTGCACATAAATGTTTGATTGAATGAACCAAAATACTTCTTCTTTAGCCAAGCATTGTTGCAACATCAGATTCTGAGTCTCTAAAAACCATTGCAAAAGTATTTTGGCATCCGGTGTCTCACATAGAGAAACAAAACTTAAACGACGGGGAACAATGATAAAAATTGTCAAAATGCCATCTTCAGTTTCTACATAAAATAAAATAAACTCATAGGAAGCACACAGTTATGGAGCATGCTCAGTAGAAATAGCTCAAGTAATAATGAAAAAACATTATTTCAAACAGAACACTACTCCTTATAACCGTACCATCTTATGATGCAGTCTTAATCATCTTAAATCCACTACAGTTGATTCAACAAGTAATACAAGCAAAATCTGGAGAAAGAAGGGCAGTCAAGTAACTTCTTTTAGAGTAATGCTACAGTCACCGACGGTAGTGCACCGAATTTGTGCACCGAATGACGTGACAAAATCCTGACCGTTGATTAATATTAAAATTAATCAACGGTCAGGATTTTGTCACGTCATTCGGTGCACAAATTCGGTGCACTACTGTCGGTGGCTGTATTACTTTCCCTTCTTTTATCCTTCTCCTCTTTTTCAGTACACTAACTTAATGAAATAACATTAAATTACAACTATCACATACATAGAAATTTTCAATTTTAAGGTTAAGAAGTGCAGGAAAAAGCAAAAGCATAATTAACATAGGAGAAAATCATGTGGTCAGTGAGTTACAATCTCCAGTCTGGACAGAGGCTGTTATCAAAGAAACATTCTTTCCCGCATGGTAGCATCTGTTTATGTTAGTGCAGCCCACAAAAGTCAATGTAATTGTACCGGGATGTGAGTGTCACCTTCTCTTTTCCAAAATTCATGATTTGTGGCACTTCATGTTTCGCTGCACAAGTGCCACAAATCACAAAGCACTTCATGTTTCGCTGCACAAGTGCCACAAATCACAAAGCACTTCCAGTCTCGCCGTCCATTGTTAGACAAAGTCAACAAGTAACATACCCTCCTTTATATCCCAGAGAAACATGTTTGTTCTCACAAAATAGATGGTAGATAGTTGAAACAAATTTCTCAGTATTTCGTATTCATTAAATTTCTGATTCACAAGAACAATCAAACATAGAAAACCCTCCTCATCTTCTCTTCAATTGATACATAATTTAACCATTAAGGAATTGTTACAGAGCTTATATTATTATTTCTCATAATTATTCATAACTACAACCTAAATTCCAACTATTTTTTTAGGCGAAGTCGAGTTCGAAACTAAGACCCCATAAACCCTAAAACCCCAAATTAGGCAACTGTGGGTTTATGAATCCAAAACCGCTAAGAATTTTCAAATTTCTAATTAATTGTTCACAAACAGAACCCAGTATATTCTATCAAAAATGCCCTTTACTTTTTTGGTAAACCTTTAGTGATTCAAACGTAATTTCCAAGTACATCAACTAAGATTAATAAACTACAACAAGAAAAATAAAGGAGAAGTTCTGCTTTGAAGAAGAAGAAAAAGGAGTTCAAAGCGATTAATTTAAGTACCTGAAGGTGGGTTTCTGAAGTCAGTTGTAAACTTGTAATGTATGGTGTTCTGCGAAACCCGGCGTTTCTTGATGCTCTGTTTAAGAAACTTGAAACCTAAGTATTACACACTGAGAACCGATCCGTTTTTCTGGGTTCCCGTTTTTTAATTTGTTTTCTTCTGACTGTTTTGTACATGGGGAGTGTTTGGTTGCTAAATTATGCTATGCTACACTAGATTAGAAAAATGGGAAATATTTCAAATATTTTAAAGAATTAAGAATAATATTAAATGAAAATACAGCCACTAAGCTACTAAACCAAGATTGATAAAATTTGAAAGAAACTTGGACAGGCAATTACATTGAATTTCACTAGAGTATAATATACATATTCCAATATTATAGCTAGAGGTGGAAAAATGACCCCTTCCCGACCGTGCGGGTTAGGCCAAATTACAGGCCAGCCTAACTTAGCTTGCCTCTTTGTCTACAAAGTGATCCCTACCCATTTTTTTTTTTTTTTTTTTGTGTAATTTTTTTTAGTTAACTTTTCAAATATCAATTCAATTCAATTAAATTAATTTTTTTTTAGTTAACATTTCAAATGTTAATTCAATTTTAACACAATTAAATTATAATATAAGAAAAATTAGATTTATTAATTTATCAAACAATAAAATAATAAATAAGAAATTAAAACAATTATTGTCTCGTTAAAAACCTTACAAAGAAAAACTCAACTAGGACAAAAACTTGGTAAGAAAAAAAAAATGTAATAATTAACAGTTAATTTATAAATTACAAAGTTACAATTTACAAAATAACTATTTGAGGGTTGACTAGGACCTCCCTCATCTGTATCATAAATTATAAAATTGAAATAATTCTATTAAAGTATCGTCGACAACCTCATATTGATCTTGATGACACGACCATTCCCAATCTCAAAGACATATGAGGACTTTAATTAATTTTGGTGAAAGTTTAGTCCTCCTTTCATTTAAAATTCTTCCACTTGCACTAAATGTTTGTTCGGATGAGATGGTTGAGATAGGAACAGAGAAAACATCTAGTACAAGTTTTGATAATACAGGAAAAATTCATTTTCTAGTTTTCCAATATTCTAAGACATCAAAGTTGGCTCTTTGTTGTGGATTTTCTAGTAGCATGGTAGCAAGTCAAGGGTTCCCAGATATTGGTGAAACTCATTACTCTGTAGTTGCATGGTGGACATTATATTCGTTGTTGATGCTTCTGAAGTGGAGGTTGTTCTTCGAGTTCGGGTTCGGGTCTTCTTCGGCCTATTAAGTGTACTCTAGGAGTCGAAGTCTTCATTTGTGTCTTCTGATGCTACTTCCTCGGGTATTGCGCCTCTTTGCTGGTTCCCATACCTGCTTTCATATTGCAAAAATACCTCTCCAAGACACTATCTTATCTCTCTTAGTTGATTGGCATACACTTCGTTTTGTAAATTTTCACTTAATGTGTAAAACCCCTCCCTAGCCGAGTATTTCCTAAGTATCCCTTAGCCATTGAGAACCTAGAAAACGCACGCCTAAGAAAGAAGTTTATTTTAAAATTCTATTTAAAGAATAAACCTGTAGTTTAAAAATATATATATTTTTAATTTAATTTAAGTACATTATGAAATCCATAGTAGTACTTACGAGAACATACACACTATTACAAAATTTACTAGCAATTTGATTTCCTTTATTAACACAAACATATATACT